CTTGCTCTAGGAATGGTAATCAAATCAATACAACCATCATTTCTGGAAGGGAACTCTCAATTGACTGCCCTATGGCTATCTACACTATCCCTGAGATTCCCTAGAATATGGGACTTGCCCAGGGGCACAGAGGTAGTAAGTGTATCTGGTTGGATTTGAACTCAGGTCTTCCTGACCCAAGTCCATCATTCAATCTGCTATACCACCTCACTGGCCCTGGTGAAAGAAGAGGAAAAAAAAAATTAAAAAAAATAAATAAATAAAAAGAAGAGGAAGAACTTTAAAACATTGAGTAGATACTTGGATGGATTTACTGAAAGGCAAAGCAAGAATGCACTGGATGAGGAACCCTAAGGGATTCATTTTGCACTGGTGAAGGGAGTATTCACACTAATGAAATTATGGATATACAGAAGTATAACACCAACCCTAGGCTCACTCCTTCAACTCTCACTTGTCCTGGAAAGTCAAGTTTGTTTGTTTCTTTTTTTTTTTTTTTTTTTTGTCTAGGCAATGAGGTTAAGTGACGTGCCAAGGGTCACACAGCTAGTAAGTGTGATGTATCTGAGGCCGGATTTGAATTCAGGTCCTCCTGAATCCAGCACCGATGCTCTATCCACTGCGCCAACTAGCTGCCCCTATACTTGGTACTTTTTAATACTTAGTCTTAACACCATAGCTCACAAGGTCCCACTGATGTATTTTCCCATTAACAATTAGCAATTATAGGGAGAAAATTTAGAACTCAAAATCTTACAGAAGTGAATGTTGAAAACTAAAAACAAACAAATGAACAAAATTAAAAAAACAATTAGCAAGTATAGTCAATTAGCTCTTAAAAAAGGAATTTATTCAAATGTCATAGCAAGAATAGTAGATACAAAGGCCTCCCCAACACTTGCGGCACATCCCACAAATACCCACAGAATCCTTGAGAGGAAGAGAGGGAACAAATTTACAGTGGTAGTAAGGCACATGCATAGGGAATATATGTGGGCAGGGTAACTCACAGTTGTGGAGCTGCAGGGCCATGCTGTCCTTCCTCTCTCCAGAGAGTGCTCACAATGTTTGCTGTGGAATATGGTATTGGAGAGGGACAAGTGACTCATCTGGGCCTGTTCCTCACAGGGCATAGCATCTCTGCAGGATGAGTCTATCTGTTGCTGAGCTGAGCCAGAAAGGTCTCCCCACTGCTAGGCTGGCTCCTTACTGGTGTGACATCAGTGGTAGGTCGATTCCCTGGACTCCACAGACCCACTCTTTGATTGGGAGGTATAATACCCAACGCACCCAGCCTCAGGGTCAGCTGGAGTGCTACTGTGTTCTTTTAGAAAGGTCAGAAATTCTTTGTGTAGGATTGTCAGAAGCCATTCCAATTCTGTTTCCTGAGGGCCTCAGCTCTGATGTTTGTCACCTTCCAGGCAGGGGGTGAGAGACAGACAACTTTTCATCTTCTTGACAATTCTTCCTGATTCAGGGCTGGTGAGGGACCTCATCCTAACTTATGGTGATCATGCCAGAACATTTCTCTGGCGCCTGTCCAGTCTTACATAAATGAGTGGCTGAAAACAAAGGTACTGAGTGTCTACTGGAGAAGAGTGTCTGCTGGAGAAGAGACAAAATGCATTGTCTCTGCTGCTTTTTTTGGGGGGGGGGGGTTTAAGTGACTTGCCCAGGGTCACATAGCTAGTATCAAGTGTCTGGTCTGAGACCAGATTTGAACTCAGGTCCACCTGACTCCAGGGCCGGTGCTCTATTCATTGCACCACCTAGCCGCCCCTTCTGCTACTCTTTTCTTAAGCGATTGAGCTATTCAAAGTCTCAGACCCAGATATTTGATTGATACCTAAAAGGGCATCATGCGAATATTTCTTTTTTTCAATAATTAAAAATTTTTATTGTTATTCTGAACTTGGCCAACATTCATACATGTGACTATTCCCATCTACAAAGATAAATATTTTTTTAAAAAAAGATTGTAAGGAAAACCACCTCACCCTTCCTTTCATTGTCCCTATGTTTATCCTTTATGATCCTCAGTTCTGCTCTAATCTAAAGGGAACATACTCTAACCAGAGGAATGAGAGTTAGAGGGAAGGGAAATTATGAATTCAGTTTGGGACATGTTGAGTCTGATTTTATAGCAGAATATTCAAGAGATATCCCATAGCCAATTGGAGATATACAGATTGGAGATTTATATTTAATAATAAGAATATCTCACAAACCTATTATTTCACGGATGTAGAAACTCCTTCTACTGATGATCACAACCCATCCATAACCGAGTCTTGGGAGAGCCCCTCAAGCCTCAGAGAGGTTAAGGGACTTGTTCGTGTTCCTATAGGAAGCAGAAATCAGGGGTTCAATTTGAATCTAAATCTTCCTGTCACTGCTCTCTCAATAATGCCACAGGGCATCTCAACAACAACAACAAAAACAATTCACATAGAAGTGACCATTGAAGTCATGGGAAGAGTTCAGTTCACTAAGGAAAAAATGTACAGAAAGAACATAGGGGTCATAGGACTGTAGGGACATTCATAGTCAGATGGTAGGATAAGCAAGAGGAAATGGGGAAAAAAAGGAACAATTAGAATGCAGAAAGTATAGAGTCATGGAAGGCAAGAGGAAAAAGGTTTCCAGGGGTGAATGATCAACAGTATCAAATATCCAAGAAAGGTCAAGGAGAATGAGAACTGAGAAAAAGCCATTTGAAAGGGAGGTAGATGAGACAGCCTGTCTAATTTTGGTAGTTGACTCAGGGCAGACTTACCCAGGGTAAATAGTAATTTAGGCCAAGTAGGCCAGAGAAAACAATGATTATCTTTAGAGTTAGTATAACCATGGCTTTTGGGCTTGCATTCTCCAAGCAGAATCCACTCAAAGTTCCCAAGGATGCTACTACTCTTTTTTCCTCCGGAAAAATGTATAAAAAGAATAGATTATTTCACATGCTACCAAACAAATGTCCTATTTCCTTCAGGGCCTTGGGGGTGGGTGAATATAGTAGGGTGTAGCGAAAGGTAATCAGAAGCTTCTGCTGGCTGATAAAATAAATACATTAGTCTTGCAAATGAGGGTAGAACATGATGATGAATGACCAATATCAGTACCACAACCCCCCTTTCTGCTGCCAATGCCTTTCCCTTTCATATTAACTTCTATCTAGTTTTTATTTATCATGCATATACCTAGCTATGTACATCTTGTTTCTCCCATTAGACTGCAAGCTCCTTGAGGGCAGGATCTGTTTATGCCTCTCTTTAAAGGCCAAGGTCTTCCACTGCATCCAGGGCTATTTCCTGTTGTCCTGATCTATATCTTGCCACTGGACCCAGATGACTCCGGAGGAGAAAGTGAGGCTGGTGACTTTGCAAAGCCCTCCCTCACTTAAATTCAATTCACTTGCATGTCATAGCATTACCTCCCTGATGTCATGATTGGGAACAAAGGACAAACAACAACTCCCAGTACTTAGCACAACGACTAACATACAGTGCTTAATACGTGTTGGTTGACTCACTGCCTGGATTTGTTCCAAAAATGAATTATGATCATGAATTATGAATTATATTATGAATTACATGAATGAATTATGATTGGGACAGTATATATATGAATGAATTATGATTGGAAACATCATTTGCCATTGGTCTGTATTGGTATGCCTTATGTTACATGTCACTCATATCTTATGGGCTAGTCCATTCAAGGGCTGGAATCTCAGGATAAGCTTCCCCTCACCCGCCTGACATGGACATCAGATTTTTTTTTTTAACAAGGCAATTGGGGTTAAGTGACTTGCCCAGGGTCACACAGCTAGTAAGTGTCAAGCATCTGGTCTGAGAAGGGATTTGAACTCAAGCTCTCCTGAATCCAGGGCCAGTGCTCTATCTACTGAGCCACCTAGCTGCCCCCCTGGACACCAGATTTAAAGAACTTTATGACAGGGAGGTAGTAGAATACAATTCAATTCAACAAAGATTTTTGTCTGTACCTTGTAGTCTTAGCTTAGAAATTTGTCTTGGCCATTGAGAAATTAAGTAACTCACCTTCAGTCACACAAGTAAGTCTTCCTGACTCTAAGACCAGCCCAGAGTATCTGCTACATATTTTACAGCTGAGGAAATCAAGGCTCAGAAGGTCAACTGACTTATCCATAATCCCCTGACTGGTGATTATCAAAGCCAAGCCTTCAACACAGACCTTTTGACTCCAGGTTCAGGGCTTTTTCCACTCAGGCAGTCTCTTAAAGAGGTTCTCAGACTTCTGGGATGGGCAGAAGGCTGTCTGGTCCTGACCATGAGAACCTTGTCAAAGCACTTTGCAGCCCAAGGATAGAAACCTGTGGTTTCATTAGAATAGAGAACTTGGGGGTGAATAAACTCCCTATACCAGCGCTGGTAGGTACCTTCTCTGCAATGTATAGACAGAGCAAGGGTTCTTAACAGTTTTGTGTCAGTCTGGTGCAACCCTTAATGGACTCCTCAGAATAACATTTGTTGCCTAAATTCATAAATAAAGGAAATGGTAAATTTCGGTTGAGTTCAGTGAAAATAAAGATTCAATTTTTTCCCCATCCAAGTTTACAGACCCTCTGAAGCCCTAGTTAAAAACTTTTGTTTTAGATAATTGCTTAGATACTAGACAAACAGAGCCCAGAGAGGTTAAATGACTCCTGCAGTCACAGGTTTATTTCTCACCTGGAGCTCACTCAGAGATCTTTCTGGTTTTGAAATCTGCACTCTTTTCACTTAAGCCAAGCTACCTTGAACTTCCAGTCCAAACACTAGAATTCAATTTCGAACAAACACTGCTGTTCCCGAAGAAGCACGGTGTAGGAATTTAAGTGACCCAGGCCCCCACGAAACTTTCAAACACAATGACTACATTTCCCAAGAGGCCATTCGGGATAGAGCCCCCTGCTTTTTACTTTCTATGCCACGAGGCGTGCTGGGAAATGTAGTCCTGGGAGCTCTCCCGCACGTGACGGGCAGGGGTTGGGCAGGCGAAAGGGTTGAGCAGAATCTGGACCTGGATTTGGACTTGGGTTTCTGGGAGCTGTGGCCACTTCACTTCTCCGCTTAGGTCCTTTGCGTGCCACGGGAAATCTGCATCCAGGCCTCTGTGGGTGGACTGAAGTCAGCCACGGCTTAGTCCTTCACTTGGGGGATTCCGTGGCGGCATCCTGCAGCATCTTTCTTGGCCAACGGGGCTAGGTCGGGAGAGAGAAGAAAAGTGTAGGGTGGTGCAGAGAAGGGGGTCAGCTCGGCAGCCTGCGCTCTCCACGCCCCACCCAGGAAGCGTCTGTGGATGACTGCAAAGTTTCCCTTTTTTCACTTTCTCATCGGTGTAAGCCCCACCGAAGTAAGCGCCGGAGAAGTTAAAGCAGATTCTCCCGCCCCGTCCTCACCCCTTGTGATTTCCTGTCTCATCTCCCTGACTCCTGCTAGCCATGGGCAGCCGAGACTACCTGTTCAAGGTGCTGGTGGTGGGAGACGCCGCGGTGGGCAAGACGTCTCTCGTCCAGAGGTACTCCCAGGACAGCTTCAGCAAACACTACAAGTCCACCGTGGGAGGTGAGAGCCAAGTCGGGGAGAGGGGCAGCCCAGCCAAGGTTAGGAAGCCCCTTCTGTCCCCAGCTCGGGATGGTGGTTTGGAGCAGGTGTCTTTGAGATAGGTAACTTGTGGCCGAGGTGCAGGAGCGGATTGATTTGGGTAATGACTTACTTGGCTCAGCTGGTGAAGGTGACTCGCCAAGGGGATAGAGTGGGGAGGCGGTTCAAGTAGTTGCTAAGTTTTCGAAGTCTGACTTTACCCAAGCCTCTTTCTGGGGGCCTCTCTGATTTTCAGGGCCAGACGTGTTTTTGTATTAGATTCAGGGAGTGTAGAAGGCAGCTGAGCTGCTTTTGGAAAGGGCACTGTCTAACTAATAATAACAGCAGCATACTTTTATATAACTAGCCTGTGAAGGAGGTAATACAAATAATATCATCCCCATTTTACAGACAAGAAAGCCAGAGGTCAAATCACTTATCCGTGTCCAAGAAGCTGGGACTAAAACTCTGGTTCCAAAGCAAATATAGTCTTCCCACTTCCCCACAAGGCATTTTCCTAGCCAGGGCTGCTGACATACCACACAAACGGGTCTCTGGCCCTCTGGGAGCATCTCTCATAGAAATGGGGAAGGTCAGAGAGTGTGGGTGAACTAAGGTGATTGAGTGGAGGTGTAATGATTCCTAGAAAGGCTTTCAGAGAGGTGAGGGATCTTGTAGCTTTGCTTTAGGAATCAGTCATAAAATAATTCACCACCCTTCCCCGACCCAAGACACTTTTGTGAGGTTTAGCCTTGTATTGCCCAGGATATAGACTAGGAGTTGTTTGAAGAGGATTTAGAGAGATATCCAACTTCACTCCTCAGAAGAGTAGGAGGGTAAGAAGAGAGTGAGCGCTCACCAACAGTTAATTTCTTTCTCTCTAGTAGCCTATGTACTCAACCAGGGTTCTGAGACTGATGTCTGTCAACAGAGATGCTTTTTATTTCATGGGGAAGGATGCATTTATGTAGCAGGCAGAAGAGGGGACATATTTCTTAGAATGCTGTCCCTGCCTGAGGGACTTGTTTATCCTAATTCTAAGACAATTATCAATGTAATGGTTCAGAATGAAATCTTGGTATCAAAGTAGGATCAAATAAACTAACCAAAGAGCAAACCTATTTGCATCTGCTGTGTGGCTCTTTCTGGGAGATGCACAAGTTCCTCTTAGCCTTGTTTTTGTTGCCATTTTCTGTCTCCAGCTCATTTTACAGGTGAAAAAACAGAGGCAAACAAGGTGAAGTGAGTTGCCCAGGGTCACACAGCTAGTAAGTGTCTGAGGCCAGATTTGAACTCATGAAGATGAGTCTTCCTGACCCCAGGCCCCAAACTCTGTTCCACTGTGCTATATAGCTGCCCTTAACTTTGTTAAACATATATTTTAGCTATATTTAGTAAACATTTACCTAAATGTCTGACTAATACATCTTTAAAGGAGTTTCTGTACTGAGAGTGTCCATGATGGAAACCCCAATCTGGAGATAAACAGAATTGTCAAGTAAAATTGGAGTGACTACAAATCATTATTTGGGACAGGAAACAGACCTGTGATTTCACTGGGATAAGGAACTTCCAGGTGAGGAAACTCCTTCTCTCCCAACTATAGTCTTCAAAAGCTGCCCAGAGCCCTGGGAGGTTAAGTGACTTGCCCAAGGTAACACAGACAGAATATGTCAGAAATCTAACTTGAACCCAGGTCTTCCTAGATTTGAGGACAGCTCTCTATCCACTATACCAGGGGTGTCAAACTGGAAAATGAAAAAGTTAACATTATCTGTGTTGTATTTTTAAAATTTTGTTTAACATTTCCCAATTACATTTTAATCTAGTTTAGATGCACTGGAGAGTCTTACAGCCTCTGAGTTTGACACCACTGCACTATATCATGCTACCTCATATTATTATTAAAATATAATTTAATTTTAATCACATCAAAATAGATCTTATCTTTGGACAGGGAGTTTCATCAATATAGGAAATTCCTGGTATGGAAACTCCTTCCAATGCATATCAGCTATTCATTAACCAATCAACAGGTATTTATTGAGTGCCATTCAGTAAATTTAGGCACGGTGCTACTCCCGGGGAATAAGTACAAAGGATAGAATAATCCTTACTTGCAAAGAGCTTGGATTCTTATCTGTCATTTACAGAGGGTTGCCTAAAAGTCGGATCCTGTATGTGTCAGATACTGAGCTGGAGCTGCCAGGGCGACCTTCCTGACAAGGCTGATTTTTAACCTCTATTCCATGACGCCTCTTCCGTAGATGCTGTCATTAGTGTGTATGAGATTCTGGTTCTGCCAATCTCACTTCTCTCCTTTCCTTCCTTTCTTCCTTTCCTGTCCTTCTTTCTTTCTTTTTCCAGTTGGGGTTAAGTGAATTGCCCACAGTCACACAACTAAGTAAGTTGGTAAGTGTCTGAAGCCGAATTTGAATTTAGGTCTTCCTGACTCCAGAGCTGGTGCTCTATCCACTGAGCCACCTAGCTGCCCCATGCTGATTTCTTTCTTGTGTGAATTTTAGAAATATTTTAATTTTGATTGATCAGGTGTTATTGTCTGAAGTGACTGCTTTAAAGGGATGACAAAGATAAAACAAACCTGGGGGTAAGCAGGTGCATCCAAGTCAATGGTTGGTAATTCCATGGTCCCTTTTCCCATCCCCCTGTAGTTAGAACCCTAGGTTTCATGATTCTTGATTGAAGAGTACAGATAATAATAATTAGTGGTTGCTCCAATTTTTCCTCAACCAGAAAATGTAGTTCATATATTTAGAGAGCTGGAAGAGACCTCAGAGGCCATTTAATCCAAACCCCTCAATTTACAGATGAGCAAACTGAGGCTAAGAGAAGTAACTTGCCTACGGGCATAAAAAAAGTAACAAAAGTTTGGTATTCAGATCCAGGTCTTCTGACTCCAAATCTGGCTCTCTTTCCACTGTACTACACTGCCCACATTCAGCAAGTCAATTCACAACAAGCACTTATTAGGCACCTACTATGTGCTGGGGTTACAAACGCAGAACAGTCCCTGCCCTCCAGGAGCTTATGTTCTAGGAGAGGGGAACAATAGGTACACAGATTAGTAGATACAAAGTGATTTTTTCTGTGGATTAGGAAGAGGAGTGCAGTAACGACTGAGGGGATTAGGAAAACCCTTTTGGAGGAAGTGACCAGGGCCAATTATTGAAAGGAGGTTGGGCTTCCCAGGAGTAGAGTTAAGAATGAAGAGCATTGGTCAAAGCATGGTCAAAGGCACGGAGGCAGGGGACAGGACATCCTGTACAGGCACCAGCATAGAGGCCAGTTTGGATCAAGGGAGTAATGTAAATAAAATCAGTCTGGAAGGAGAGGATAAAGTATTTTATGAGGGCTTTAAAAGCCAGAGAGGAGTTTGTCTTTAATCTTGGAGGAAATTGGGAGCCATGGAAGCTTCTCAGTAAGGGGGGAGATATGGTGAAACCTCTGCTTTTAGGTGTATCAATTTGGCATCTGTGTAGAAGACTGATTGGAAAGAAGATCGACTCGACCAATTACAGTGGCCCTGGCCAGATGTGGTAAGGGGGTCAACGGAGGTAGTGATTTTGTGAGTGGAGAGATGAGGGCAGGTGCAAGAGATGTTGTGAAGGTAGATGGGAATTGGCTACTGATTGACTAGAGGGGGTTTGACAGAGGGCAGGATTGAGAGTGACTCCAAGGTTGTGAACCCGGAGTTTTGGAAGGATAGCAGCACCCTTAACAGAAGTAGGGAAGTTTGGAAGAATGGTGGATTTTGTGGATGAAAGATACTGAGTTTGAGTTTGTGATACCTATGGGAAATTCAGATAGAGATGCCCAGCAGGCAGCTGGTGGTACAGGGTTAGCGCATAGGAGAAAAATAAGTTATGGAGATTCATATTTGGGAGTCGTCTGCATAGAGGTGATGAGTGAACTCGCCAGAACTGATGAGATTACCTAAAGAGAATATAGACAGAAGACAGAACTTTGGAGTATACCTATGCGTAACAGGCGGGACGTGGTTGATGATTCAGCAAAGAAGACGTTTGCTGTAGTTGGCATCTGACTGAAAACCTTTCAGTCAGTAGTTATCCCAAATTTCCCCTCTCCTCTCTTACTGTCCCCTATGTTTTGAAGGTTTGACCTCTGTGTGTGTGTGTGTGTGTCTCTCTCTCTCTCTGTCTGTCTCTCTGTCTGTCTCTCTCACACACACACACCCACACACATACCTCTAGTCCTTGAGATTTAATTTTTGGTTGGGATTTTGCAGTGGACTTTGCTCTGAAGGTTGTCCAGTGGTCCGATTCAGAAACGGTGCGGCTCCAGCTATGGGATATTGCAGGTAAGTAGGAAAAATAATACCATTAGCAGTAGGGATGGGGAAGAAATCTGTTTTACTTGAGTATCCTCAGAGGGAATAGGCTTGGAGGCAAAACAAGAAACAGATTTTAAAGAATGAAAAGTGGTGGAGAATCCTTGGAAACTTGAAGACTTGTGAAACTGGAAATTTTATCTCTGAAATGACTGCATTGATCTTTATTTCTGTGATTAAATAAGGTCCAATTAGGCAAGTATCCTTATCATAGCAGGCTGGCTACCTCTGCAATAATCAAAGAAATATTCCCCCTTCCTGGCTTTTCATCTGTCAGCAGAAAAACAAGATAGAATTGCTGTGAGCAGCTATGTGCTCCAATAGAAGTTGATTGAAGAAGGGAAATAGAGGCCCTAGGATGGTCTTAAGCACTAGCCCTTTGATAACAAGTATCCCTTGCTTCCTGCTAGGCCAGGAGCGATTCACCTCCATGACTCGTCTGTACTATCGGGATGCTTCAGCCTGTGTCATCATGTTTGATGTCACCAATGCCACCACCTTCAGCAACAGCCAGAGATGGAAGCAAGACTTGGATTGTAAGCTCACGCTGCCCAGTGGGGAGCCTGTGCCCTGCCTGTTGTTAGCCAACAAGGTGTGTGTGTGTGTGTGTGTGTGTGTGTGTGTGTGTGTGTGTGTGTACAACTCAGAGAAATGTACTTTATCATTTTTTTTTGAGGCAATTAGAGTTAAGTGACTTGCTCATAGTCACACAGCTGATAAGTGTCTGAGGCCAGATTTGTTTATAGCCATATTTTACAGGTATTTGGAAGGGTTTGGGTGAGAGCTCAAGCAAGTCACTGCTTTTACTCCACCATCTTGGCTCCCTGAGGTCAGATTTGAACTCAGGTCCTCCTGAGTCCAGGGCTGTTGCTCTATCCTCTGCACTGCCACTACTTTATCACTCCAGCTATGCTCAGAGAGATGTCATGGCTGGCTTACTTGGTAATTCTGGACTTCTGAGATAGGTACAGTCATCTGGTATTAAATTGGCAGATCTGGGCAACACTATATAACAAAGTCTTTAATGTTATTCTTTTGGAAAAAGTGGAGAAAAGGACTAGAGGAGGGTACAGTTAGAATGACTGAAATCTCATTGAATGGCTGGATCCAAAGAGTAATCTTTAATGTTTTGATGTCATCCTGGAAGAACAACAAAGATTAAGTGTAAGTTAAATTTAACACAGTAACAAAATTGCCCTTTTAAAATGTTTGTGTCCCTTTTAAAATTTTTGGTTTTTTAGTATGTTTTATAAATGTTATATTGATGCCCCATTCTTTCTTTCCTTTTTTTTCCTGCATCTCTATCACTAACTCTTTCCCCTCCTCCCCACCTTCCCAACTAATAGATGCCTTCCCTCGTAACAAATAAACACAAACAAAACAAGTCCACACATTGGCCACATTCAAAAATGCATGTCTTCTTTTGTACCTTTAGTCCATCACCTCTCTGTCAAGAGATGGGTAGCTCATTTCTAAAATATATAGAGAATTAAATCAAATTTATAGGAATACAAGTAATTCCCCAATTGATAAATGGTCAAAGGATATGAACAGGCAGTTCTCAGATGAGGAAATTAAAGCCATCTATAGTCATATGAAAAAAATGCTGTAAATCACTATTGATTAGAGACATGCAAATCAAAACAACTCTGAGGTACCACATCACACCTATCAGATTGGCCAACATGACAAAATAGGAAAATGATAAATGTTGGAGAAGATGTGGGAAAATTGGAACACTGATGCATTGTTGGTAAAACATTGGTGAAACAATCCAACCATTTTGGAGAGCAATCTGGGACCATGCCCAGAGGGTTATAAAAATATGCATACCCTTTGACCCAGCAATAGCACTTCTAGGGCTGTATCCCAGAGAGATCATACAAATGGGAAAAGGACCCACATGTACAAAAATATTTATAGCAGCTCTTTTTGTGGTGGCAAAGAATTAGAAATTGAGAGGATGCCCATCAATTGGGGAATGGCTGAACAAGTTGTGGTATATGAATGTAATGGAATACTATCGTGCTATAAGAAATGATGAACAGGCTGACTTCAGTCAGTTACTGTTGTACACAGTAACAGCCCACGTTGTTCGATGACTAGCACTGATAGATTTAACCCTTCTCAGCAATGCAAGAATCTAAGACATCTCCAAAGGCTTCATGATGGAAAATGCTATCCACATCCAAAGAAAGAACTACGGAGTTTGAATGCAGATCAAAGCATACTATTTGCTATTTTTTTTCTTCTGTTGTGTTTTGTTTCCTCTTTCTGGTGGTTCCTCCTATTGGTTCTAATTCTTACCTACAACATCACTAATGTGAAAATATGTTAAATAGGAATATATATGTATAGCTTATATCAGATTGCATGCCATCTAGGGGAGGGAAGTGGGGAGGGAGGGGAAGAAAAATTTAAAACTCTAAAGCTTATGGAAGTGATTGTTGATAATTCAAAATAAATTAATTAAAAATTTTTTAAAAAAAGAGATGGACAGCCTTCGTCATCATCATTCTTCTGAACTCATGATGGAGCACTACACTGATCAGAGTTCTGTAGTTGAAGGGCAATGGGACCATAGGATCATAGATTTAGAATTTGAAGAAGGGACCCTAAGGGCCACCTCATTCAACCACCTCATTTTATAGACGAGGAAATAGAGAGTCAGAGAGTTTCGGCGGCCAATAAATAGAAAGGGAAGGACTTGAGTCCAGGTCTTCCTGACTCTATGTCCAGTGCCTTATTTACTAGGCCACACAACTTCTTTCAAAAGTGTTTCCCTTGGGCTGCATTATGTGAGCTACAGCTTCCAAGAATAATGAGGTGGTAATGGTTCCTTTGGACCCTGCCCTAGTCGGACTTGTTCTTGTTCAGTTGTTTCAATCATGTCTGACTCTTTGTGACCCTATTTGGGGTTTTCTTGGCTGGAGTGGTTTGTCATTTTCTTCTCCAGCCCATTTTACAGATGAGGAAACTGAGGCAAACAAGGTTAAGTGATGTGCCCATAGGTCACACAGCTACTAAGTGTCTGAAGCTAGATTTGAACTTGGGAAGAGGCGTCTTCCTGACTCCTCGCTCAACCCTCTATCCACTGTGCCACCTAGTGCCCTCCCTGGTCAGACTACATATGGAATGTTATGTTCTGTTCTAGGTGACAATTTAGGAAGGCCATTGATAGGTTGGAGAATGTTCAAAGGAGGTCAGCTAGGATAATGAAGGGCCTTGAGTCTGTATGAGGATTAGTGAAGAAACTGGGACTGTTTAGCCTGAAGGAGATAAGACTTGGGGGTTGCATGATAGCTGTCTTCAAGTGTTTGAAAGACTGTCATGTAGAATCTCTATTCTACGTGAATAATTAAACTTGTTAAATTAAAATTAAACTTGTTCTTTTTATCCGGATGCAGAAATCAGGAGCAAGGGGTAGAAGTTACAGAGAGGCAAATTTAGGTTTCGTATCTGGTTATTTTTCCTAATCGTTAGAATGGGCTGTCTTAAGGTAATGGGCCTCAATGAGGTCTTTCATGGAGGGACTTCGAGGAAAGCGACCGTTTGTTGGGTATGTTCTAGGGGGTGTTCCTTTTCCCACACAGGGCAGACTAGATGACTTCTGTAGTCCTAACTCTAAAATTCTGGGATTCTGAACCTAGGATCCTAGGTTCCTTTCGAGGATCTCTGTAAAGGAAGAGAGCTGCCCTAGAGTTCTTTAGTGGCGTTCTGAGTGTTGAGTCCATATGGCGGGATTAACGCAGTCATTTGAGTAATGCTTTTCTAACTGTGAATCTTATGATATTTCCTTGTCTTCCTTCACTTCCACAGAGTGACCTATCCCCATGGGCAGTGACTAGGGACCAGATTGACCGGTTCAGCAAAGAGAATGGTTTCACTGGCTGGACTGAAACGTCAGTCAAGGAGAACAAAAACGTTAATGAAGCTATGAGGTAAGTAGGTACTGATTCTCTGCTGAACGTAGGATTCTTTCCCACCTCTTCCTTAGTCATGCTTTCTCCTATCATCTCCGCCAGCTCTGTGCTTTATTTGTGCCAGGGGGCCCTGCAAGACAGGGTCAGGAGGAACACATTAGAACAATAACTTCTTAAGATCAGAGACTCTCTCTTCTCTCCTTAAGGCTCCTAGAACATCATCAGGCAGACCTGTCATCTTTTTTACTGGACAGTGATGATGATTTTAAAAAAAGGAATAATTTGGAATGTCTGCCTTTTCTCTTTTTCTGCTTCAGCCTACTCCTCAGTCTGACTTCTAGTTTATTTCCTAGAGTCCTTATTGAACAGATGATGGCCAATACCAGGGAAGGCAGCACATCTCTGCCCGCACAAGGTGACTACATCAACCTGCAAACAGTATCCACACCTGGCTGGACCTGCTGTTAATTGTGTGCAGCTTTCTCCTTATCTTGAATGGGGAAGGTCTGACCATCTCTTTGTTTTCCTTCCCTATCCACCCAGCTGCCTAATTAAGAACTTATGATGAGTCTTCTACTGAGAAAACACCAGCCTTATTACTTTAGAACATTTTTTTCTGACCCAGCAGGCTGACACTTCATTACTCAGACAAGACTTATAAGTTCCTGTGTATATTTCTGCATTGCTTGGATATCTGCTCTGAGTTACTCCCATGGCACAGGCTGTATGGCACAGGTAGTGGGTTCAAAGGAGGGTCCTTTATGCCCCTTTTCATAAGACTTGATTGGAATGTTATTGGAGTAAGTGTAGATGGAAGACAGCACACTTTTTCATTATGAACTACAACTGTTGTTCCGGCTGTCATCCCATGAAGGCAACATCCTGACTTCAGACCAAGAGAACAAAGATCAAGATGTTTTCTTGCCAAACTGTTTTGTGGGTCACTACTTTTGAAGTTCTCTCTGTCCTGGACTTTGGATTTAAGCGTCTAACTCTTGCCTGGCTGTCTGCAGACTTGAAACAACTCTAGAAGACCTTGTGTTGCATTTGTGGTTTTAAAAAGGCTCTGAAATCAGGATGGGCTTTCTCTCTCCCTCTCCTTAACAGTGGTGGAACTTTTAATCCATCTGTCCTGTGTGATGAGAGTATCTCTCTTCCTAAATATAGACATGGAGGAAATGACTAGGAAGTTCTGGGGTCTTTTTACTCATGATACAAGAGCACAGTTTTATAGACTGACTGGTTAATGGGCAACCTGATGTTCATTCAACTCTGCAAAAGACATTAGTTGACTATGGTGTGCTTCTTGCATAGAAATGGGACTTTGAAGTCCCCTGAATCTGAGAGAAGGAGGAAACAAGGGGAAAGGGAGAGCTGAGCAAAGCTGGCTTCTAAGGGGCTGCTTAGCTCATGGTATAGGGTTTATAGCTATAAAAAGGTTGTATGGTCCCGGGGATAAGAAGGTTTACTATGTTTGTAACATTAAGCACAAAAATCCCGTGATTCTGTTTCAGGTCATAGTTCATTTCTGGATGGTTGAATTTTTCCATGGGATTGAAGTTTATGGAAATGCTCTTCGGGGTCAGTTATCCACCCAGGGCTAGAGCTGAGCCACAAAGGTGGAAGTGATGAACACAGAGGTCAAGAACCAGGGATAGAAAAGAAGCCAGAACCTTTCCAAGAGAAATTTAATCCATGTAATACAACTTTTATACAATCCCTAGAGGCTTTCAAAGATTCCTTTTGTGTTCAATACATTTTGTCGACAATTGTGGGGATTCCTTTTGTACTATTATTCAAACAAGGTTTTTGGCTATGGTATTGTCAGGTAAACATCATGTAATAGTCCCCTTTTGTGAAGGCGAAATTTATTTTAATCTAGGCTATTGTCCTGAAAAATCACAATCAAATTATAAATAAAAGCCTTATGTACTCATTTAGTAGTTATTGATTTTTAATGTGAATTTAAAATGCTTCCATTTACTAGATCAGTCTAGAGAATTATGAGAGTTGGGAATATTTCTTTTTTTTTTTTCAGCTAAAGACAAAGTTTATCAGACCATCCCTCATATTGGGCAGACTCTTAAGGAGTCTGAACATTAGTAAGCTATTGGCTAAATTTTAAGTATCTAAGCCAGGAATATTTCTTAAAAAAAAAAAAACCCTCAAGAAACGAAGATGTCTTCTCTGCCTTACCTGTTTACTCCCGGTTTACAAGTAAGTATCTTGATAATATTCAGTAATTGGAACATTTCTTCCAACAATTACTTGACCATTTAACATAAAAATCTATCACATTTTGTCAAAGTAGAATATGAAAATAATGCTGACTCTGCTTTTCTCTCCCATTTGCTGACACAGGATTTATCTGTTTTTCATACACATTGCTAGAAGCAGCCAGCTAGCACTTCTTGGTTTTCTCACCCAATCAGTGTACAATGTACAAGCCTGGGACTAATTAGGGAAGGGATGGAAAGAATACTGCTCTAACACCTTAACTAATTACTTAGTCTCCCTAATATTCTTCCTATCCACAAAAAATGGGAATTAGTGATAACATATTTGAGTGGAATTGGGTAAAGGAGAATTATAATGATTGGAAATGTGAATATAGCCCTAATTATATTCAATTACTTTGATGCTACCTTCTGGTCTATAATATGATGGGTACTATTTAGAGCACAGAGGTTGTTATCACCCTCCCCCCAGGGGAGTCTGTATTTAAGGCAAGGTGCTGGTGTTAGGCCATCATTTTTTGGCCACAGGTAAGTGTCATTGCCATTTATGGCCCTCTGAATCATAGAAAGGAAACCAAGTGAAGGCAAACAATGAGCAATACTGAACAAGCAGAAAGCACACCTGTGCCATGGGAAGAACCTTCCAAAGAAGGGCTGAACACTGGTGTGCATTCTTGGCCATCCCACTATATCCCCAGCTGCCTCCAGCTTTCTCCAGGGTGATGCTAATCGTTTTGCAGATGGTGAATTCATTTGACCAGAATAGCCAAATGCCCAAGTCGACATTTGTAGTCTCCCTGGGGCATCAGCATCCAACTTCATGCCATAATTCTGTTAAAACCAACAAGCAGACATTATTCCACGGTTGTTCCTCCACAGTACGTCCTCTGGTTATTGCCGAGAAAACTCCCTTAATCAGATATGTCTGGGTGACATGATTTCCTTAATGTCTCCTGAATAACTTCTATTTACTTCAGGTTGTGGTCACTCTGCCCAAAGGCTGCTAGGCTAGTTTTCCTTCCATTTTTTTTATTTGTTCTGCCTTGATACTTCTGAGAGGTGACTTGCACTTAAGACATCATCTGAGGCCATGATTGGAAATGGTTCCTTAGGTCAGGAGAATCTAGAATGCCACTACGGTATAATGTAAATATTAGTGTGCTCTGATCAGACTCCACAAGAGAGCAATCTTATTTTCCTTGCTCACTCTCATAGAACAGATGAAAAAGTAATATTCAATAGCCATGTAGGTGATTTTAGCTATTAAAGACAAACGACTCTTATGTCCTATGAAAGAATAAATAGCACAGCAAGAGAAAACAGAAAATATCTGTTGGAGAGCTGTCAGCATACATCTTTGACTTTAATGTGAAAGCCAGAAACATTTCCTATGCTTTTTATCCTATGCTTTTTTATTTTTTCCTAATAAATTCAAAAATCTTTATTTTTCTTTGGCTTTTTAACATAATCTGAATTCATAGGATTAGAGGATTTAGAGCTGGATGAAACCTTAGGATTCATCTCTTCCAGTTCCCTTATCTGAGGTGGTTTAATGAATTCAGAAACTAACTATTTTGAAAAGTGACCTACTTGTCCAAGATCACATAGGTTTTAAGTAGCAGAATAAAAAATTGAACTTGAGTCTTCTGATTCCAAATCCAGTTTTCTGCCCACTACAAGCTGACCTTATGAGCTATAGTTGAAGTTCTGATATATTAGCTAACATGAACTGTACATAATGCTTTCCAAGGCAAACAGAGATTCCTTGTAGGTCATAAGGTCCTCTAGCTGCTCCTTTTGGTGGAGGACAATATGTTGATTGGATCAAGCCCCAAAATATTATAGAGCCTTCCAAATAAGACTCATAATTATTCAAAGGAGTTTGAGCCATACTGACCAGATCAACTAGATAAAGAAATGCTATTGTTCATAATATGATATGTAATTGTATAAACAACCTCTGGAGCTTATCTCTTTAATGGATGATAAATTTGGACCAGAATTGGATAGAAGGAGATGAGAGAATTCAATTTGTTTCAGCCATTTTTCAGTCATGTCTGATTCTTCATGACCCCATTTGGGATTTTCTTGGCAAAGATACTAGAGTGGTTTGCTATTTTCTTCTCCAGCTCATTTTACAGATAAGGAAACTGAGGCAAATAGGGTTAAGTGACTAACCCATGGTCACACAGCTAGCATATGCGGCCAAATTCAAACTCAGATCTTTCTGACTCCAAACCTAGGGCTCTATCAACTGCACCACCTAGCTGCCCCGAGAATTGGATTACCTTTAGGAAATTGCAGAGTTCATTAATATCCTGAATATTTTCCCCAAAACTATCTTTTTAATACATATATTCTTCCCAAAATGTTCCATAACTCTAAATCATAAAATCCCATACCATGTCATCTCTGAGGAATTGAAATTGAGCATCATCCAAAGATCAACAAGGAAATACATGGTGGGTTGCTGTTTGTCCTTCATTCTCGAAGAGGACCATGACATCAGGGAGGTGATACCATGACATGCAAGCGAATTGGATTTAAGTGAGGGAGGTTCTGTGTACCGGCTTTACTTTGTCTTCTGGAGTCAATTAGTCCAGTAGCCAGATATGGATTAGCACAACTGGAGATGGTCCAGGATGAAGTGGGGGGACCTTGGCCTTTTCAAGCTAAGGTCTTTAACAGGTCTCAGTTTGATTGAGACAGCACCCATTCAGTGATTAAGGCTTAATAAAAAATGAGGCAAAGAATGGCCTTTTTATTGAAACACATTACAAAAAAAGGAATTGTTTGGTAAAGCAATGGTGTCAAACTCAAATAGAAATGGATACCTGTGGGCCATATGTTGTCTTAGAAAACCATAAATTAACATTTTCTATGTTGCATTGTATTTTTGGATACAAGAATTTTTTCCTGTTTGACCACTTCCCTTCTTATCTTGTGTGTATTAATTTTGTCTGCAAGCTTTTCAGTTTCAAGTAATCAGGTTACCTATTTTATCTTTGTAATTGCCTCAATCTCTTGTTTGGTTAAGAATACATTTCCTACCCATATCTATGAGGTATTGGATCTGTTTCTCTTCTGAATTCTTTAGCATAATTTTAAATATTAACGTAAACATATCCATGTATTGTGGAATATGATATAAAGTGTTACTCTAAGCCTAATTTCTGCCAGACTCCTTTCCAGTTTTCCCAGCAGTTTTTTTTTTTAAACAAATAAGAAGTTGTTGTTTTTTTCCCCTGGGTAATTTGTTTTTTCCACTTTATTAAACACTGAGTTATTGAGTTCTATTACTTCTGATTCTCCCTTGTCTAGTCTGTCTGAATGATGTATCCCTCTTTTTTTTAACCAATTTTGCTGTTGAGTCGTTTCAGTCATGTCTGTCTTTTTGTGACCCCATTTGGGGTTTTCTCGGCAAAGATACTGGCATGGTTTGCCATTTCCTTCTCTAGCTCATTTGACAGATGAGAAAACTGAGGCAAACAGGATTAATTGACTTGCTCAAGCTCATACAACTAAGAAGTGTCTGAGGTCCCATTTGAACTTCGGTCTTCCTGACTTTAGGTTCAGTTCTCTATCCACTGCACTGCGTAGCTATCCTTTTTAACCAATACCAAATATTTTTGTTAACTAGTTTGAGGTCCAGAAGTGCCATTCCCCTTTTGTACCTAATTTTTTTCAGCATGTCTCTTGATATTCTAGATTTTTAGTTTTTTCAATTGAATTTTATCATTTTGTCAAGTTCTATAAAGTATCCTTTTAGTAATTTGATTGGTATAACATTAAAAATATAAATTAAGTTTAGCAGTATTGTCATTTTTATTATATTGGCATGGCCTACCCATGAGCACTGAATATTCCTCCAGATATTTAATTTGTTCTTAATTTCTTTAAGGAGCATTTTTTAGTTTAATCTATGTAATTCTTTTGTATACTTTGGAAAGTTAATCCCCAGATGTTTAATGCATTTTTTAGTTATTTGGAATAGGATATTGCTTCTTGTGTTTTGTTATTGTGATGTAGAAATGCTATTTTGAGGATTTATTTTGTGGCCTCCAATTTAGTATCTTTATTGATTTCCTAGGATTTTCCAAGTAAACCATCATATCATCAGCAAATAGGTACTGCTGATGATATGATGGTTTACTTGGAAAATTTAAGATAATACTATCTCCTTCTTACCTATTACTTTAATTTCTTTCTCTTGTCTTGTTGCTGTCACTGGCATTTCCAGAACTATATAAAATAATAGGAGGGAGAGGGAGCATCCTTGCTTCACTCATATTTATTGGAGAAGGTTCTAGGATGTCCCCATTGCATATCATTCTTGCTTTTAGTTTTACATAGATGCTTTTTATGATATATTTTTTTAAAAGGTCTCTCTATGCCTATACTTTTAGAGTTTTTAGCCTAAAAGAGTGTTGATGTCAAAGACTTTTTCTGCATCTATTGAGATGAACATGTGGTTTTGGATGTCTTGGTTTTTAACATGATTGATTGTGTTAATTGTTTTCCTAATGTTGAACCATCCTTAGATCCCTGATATAAATTCCACTCAGTCATAATGAATGATTTCTTGGATAAATTGGTGTTTGATAGAGAAATTTTGTTTAAAATTTTTGAGTCAGTGTTCATTAATGATGTAGACTTATAGTTTGCTTTCTGTGTTTTCTTTCCCTGGTTTT